AAAATATGAAAAAATAATCAAAAATACTTTTTCATTAAAGGCTCTATATTGCTCAGAAAACAGTGATAAATCTATTAATTTAAAACAGTCAATATCACTGGGGAAAGAATTTATCAAACTTAAAGGCAATTTTCAGTGAAAATAACACTAAGGTTCAAATTTCATGGCAATAGGAATGATGTCAGACTTAAACTACATTCACTACGAAAAACTAGACAACTAATGTGTCACTCTATATTAAAAAGATGACTGAGAATGGGGACAAGTGGGGAGGCAGACAGTGGCAACCTCTGGAAGATGGAATCTCTTCTCTCTGCTGGTCCTAGAAGAGAAAAGAGACACCAATAAGCATCAACACACTGTCCGAATTCCTCCCCACCCGAGACCCACCAGTCCACAGGTGTATCTCAACCTTACAGCCAACCTCACCTCCAGACATGGCACTTAGAGCCAAGAGGATGCCAAAAACATCACTTTATCCTAATTGATTAGTGGCATCTTTAAAAAATAAAAACTATCAAAAAACATTTACTTTTATACAGTTATAATCTGCATCAAATGGGACTGAAAGCAGCTAGTTTAAAAGTAATACCTCTCATCATGTATGTGAAGAATAGCTTTCCCAAACCACTGCTCTCACATAACTATTTAAAATTATTAATATAAAGAAGTCATTAAGTATAATTCAAAAGATCTGAGAAAAATAAAAGTATCTGAATTCTCTATCAGTGGGAGTAGGGAGTGTGTGTGTATGCATGTGTGTATGAAGCAAGTGGCTACAACCAAAGGTTTGGCTTGTCACTGTTGGTTCTGACTCTCACTCAATGTACACAGGTCACTGAGAAGATGTGGAGATGGAGTTTACATCAAGCTGACAAAAGGAAATTAATCAACTTGTACTGTTTAAAAGGTTATCCTCAGCCTGGAAAGAAGCACTAAAGCAAATGAAATTCAAAGAATAATGATCTAAATAAATTACTGAGAGTGATAATGGTAAATGACATCCTCAATTCTGTATTACAAATAAAAGTCTACAGGATTGTTTTCCCTAGGTAGCAGACTGTATGGTAATTCCAAACCAAGTGGCAAATTCTAACAGACACAACTACAGCTTACACAACCAGAACTGTGAAATAACTATATATATATTTTTACATATCTTTATGGAAAACCTAGTCACTAGAAACTACGTCCAAAGTAAACCCTATAGGAAATAATTTTTAAATTCAGTCACTTGAGACTAAGCTCCAAATGTATAAAATGGAGAGGTAATTAACTGAAATTAGATGAGCAGTATCTATGTTTCTCTGTTACTGATCACTACTTTCTTCCAGGTATTGCCCTGGGTACTGGGGATACAAAAAGACAGTAGACACAATGTCTGGCCAAGTGAAATAGCAGTGAAAGCTCATTACTGGAAAGCCCCTGAAGTCTGAAATCAGGCTCTTCTGGACTCACTGACTCTGGGTCAAGAAAATATATTTTTGGATTTTCAGGATGGATTTTGCAACTAAGACAAGTGGATGATGGAAGGGTGAAGTGTTTGCTGGGCACCACTGTGCAAAACGGTTAGAACCATCCCCTTCCGTATTTACGCAGTACTTGCCAAGCACATGCAATGACTCTAGACTGAGCACTTGAGTGAGGCTCGGGAAGCCCCACACGTTAAGACTGAGAAATCAGGATTAATATCTGATTCTGAGAAACCATTAGGAATTTTAGTGCCGGAAGACTACGGCAAAACCATTAACAAAGAAATTCAGAGACTCAGACATTAGAGAACCCTCTAGAAGACAACGCCCACTTCTTTACTGACACTGACGAAACCCAATAACCAAACAAACAAAAGAACGTCTGAGCACGCAGGCCACGTGTTTTTATGGCGCCTTTTCTCAGTGCCTCGGCTGTCTTCCCGAATCGCTCAAACTGCACCTGCTGCAAACGCGGGGCGTGCGGGTGCGGGGGCCCAGAGCCGCCCAGGCAGGTCCAGGACGCCGCACCGAGGGGCCGCCCCCGCCCGCAAGGCCCGGTCCACAGCCCGGCGGTCGCCCGCGCCCGCCGCCCTCCCGCGGCCCGCACCCGCTCGCACCTCACGCCGCTGCTCCGGAAGCCCCGGAACGCGCGCCCGGCCTCCCCGCGGCTACGCGCGGCGCGGCGTCCTGCGCAGCGCGGGCACGCGGCCCAGGCGGCCGCGGAGCAGCCCGAAGCCGCCGGACGGCGCCGCCATGGCCGCGAATCCCCGGGTCCGACCCGGCTCCACCTCCCGCGGCTCCCGTCAGGGCGGCTCCGCCCCCAGCCGGCCGGCTCCGCCCCCAGCCGGCCCGCGGGGAGAGCAAGTCCGGAAAACTTGTGGGTCGCCACCGGGGGAGGGGTCAGGAGCCACGCCCAGGGGAAGGGGCGGGGCAGAGAGGACGCGGGGCGCCAGGGGGCGGGGCCAGCACCCCAGGCCTGGGCGGGCCGAGGCTGAGGCGGGCGCCTGCGGTGAGCGCCCAGTCAGGGCTGGCTGCTGTGAGGGCGGCGTCTTGGCGGGACAGCCGCGCTCGGCCGACGCACCGCTGATATTCCCACAGCGAAGGCCCTGGAAAGGCGTCTAAAGTAGTCACATTGGGCGGCACGCCCCCCTTTCCCCCTTTCCCCCAAGCCAGAGCTCCTGCCCAGCATTCTCCGTGTCTATGCGGAATTTAATTTAAAACCAGAAAGATGTGATAGGTTGTTTCCCGCTCCTTTTGTGCGACCTTGGGGCACCTTGAGTGTGTGGAAGTGTGGAGGGAGGAGGGGACGTGGCTGAACCAGGTCTGGACCTGGGATTTCTGTAGCTCTACCTTAGCATCTCCACGTTTGGAGGGAAAATTTGACCAATGTCCATTGTTTTCCCGAGTTTACAATCAAGTTAATAGAGCCTCGGAACCCTGCGTTGTGTGGCGAGTTTGTAGTGAGAAAGCAAAATACCAGCTCCCTCTGAAAAAGCAAAAAATTCACACTCTCCATTCATGGTGCAAATTGAAACAGACCCAAATAAGACACCGTCACAGATAAAACCAGCTGGGATGTTTGGGTTATTTCCTAGGAGAATCCTTGGTCCTTTATGCAAAGAGATAAGTATAGAATTCTAAAGTGAGCCAAGCTTATGCTCAAGCTGAGAATGCCCTGTTAATATATTTGCATTTAATGTCCAAGTTGACTTTTTCCCCATATTGAAAGCCAATATACCTCACAGACACTTCATTACATATTTGTTTAATTGTATTAATATAACTTCTATCCTAATTAAGCAATACTAGATAGAATAATTTCATAAAACAACTTAATTTTTTTATTTTCCTCTGTCCCTCAGGTCCTCTTTGTGGGAAAGCTTATTCCCTCCTACTCTATGAAATCTTGAACTGATCCTATATAACTTCTTGGTCCTTTTAAGTTATAAGAACAATCTCATTTCAGAAATTATTATTTGCATTTTGTAGATGAGGAAACTTAAATACTAAAAGGTTAAGTAATTTCCCTGAGGTCAAGTGAGTGACAAGAGGATAGACCCAGATGGTTTTGTGTCCAGAGTCAGTGTCATTCCCTGAATGAATGAATGAGTAAATGAGCTGGAGGAAAGGAGACCTTAGAGGGTTGGAAGATTGTTTTAGTAATCCAGGTGAGAAATAATAAGGGTCGGAACTAAAGCTATGTCACTGTGGGTGGAGAGGAAGAGAGATTACAGAGTCATTTAGGAGGTAGGATCAATAGAATCTAGTGACAGGCTGAATGTGCTAGCTCAGATTTGACAGTAAGCTTGGCTTTCTCCAGCATTTGTATTTCAGCCATCTAGAATGAATTTTGCTTGGACTACTCCTCCACATGTCATCTCATGTTATCCTGTGGGGGATCATTTAGCTCCAACCCCTTCTACATGTAGTAATTGCATGTAATCCATACATTGCATGTATGGATTCTTCCTAAACAAATTTGGCCTCCTTGAAAAATGTCATATTTCAGTTATTTTATCTAGAGAGCACCAGTCGATGGCCCCAATGAGATGAGAAAATTTGTCACAAAATAAGGGTCTATTTTCATCTTTGAAGTTACTGTGAGGACAAAAATATGGTGTACTAAGTATATTCATAAACTGTTGATGGTATAAAAATTTGAGAATATGAATATTGTCATATGTGATAAGGTAATCTGATAATATGAATTAAAAAAACAAATATCTTCGTGACCTTAAATTGTGTTGTCTTTTTTTGTAGTCTAGCCCAAATGAGTAATGCAAAACATAGAAAAGGGTGTGCATAAAGTGAAAAATATATAATTAAGAAAATTAAAAATTAATGCTAAAAATATAGGATTATTTGTGTGAATTGTTACATTAATTACATAAAATTTAAAATAATGAAAGTACCAGTAATAGCAGTTTCTGTAGGCTTACCTTGTGCCATACACTTTTCTAAGTTCTTTACAGACATTAACTCATTTAATTTTTACTATTGTCCTGGAAGATAGTCTCTTATTCCCATTTTACATATAATAAAACTGAGCTTCAAAGAGATTAAGAAATTTTTCCAAAGATCTAATAACAAATCTAATAACTGGTATATCCAAGATGTAAATAAAAATAGCTTGATGATTTTGTTTTTAAAAGTAATAACAAACTTCGAATAATATATAAAAGGAAGAAGGCATGAAAAGGGAGATTAGAATATATTTTGGGCCTAAAGGAAAATGAAAAGAGAACATGTCAAAATTTGAGGAATGCAGCTAAAGCAGTGCTTTTAAATAAATCAGTAGCCTTACATGTTTATTTAGAAAATAAGAAAAGTCTAAAATCAATGATCTGTTAAGGCTCCAAATGGCGACGTAGAAGCAAGGTGACATTACCCACTCTCCCGCTAACACACACAGAAAACCAGAAACAAGTATACAACGCCAAGTAATGATGACATCACCAGCAATATTCCAGAACTCAAACATGAGAATGGGATAATTCCTGGCGACACGGAGAGATGAAAAAACCTTACGCAGACCGTAGGTGGGAGAGTCAGATTCCCGTGACCCCTGCCTTCACACTCTTGCCTAGCACCAGCAAGGAGAAATTCTCCCTAACTCATGGTTCTGTGCTGGAAAAGGTGAGACCGAGGTGGAAAGTCAGCTTCCTCACCATCTCAGTTCCCTAGCGGGAAACGTGTCCCTGCCCCACCCACGGGAAGCGTCACAAGTGCCTGCCAAGAGAAACAGCCTACGACAGCCTCGTGGAGCCCTGGAAACTCTGCTCCGTGATTTGGCCAAACGTGACACCAAATTGGAGTGGGTGTTCAGCAGCACCACGCTAACGAGGAATGTTCCACACATTACCTGGGCATGAGCCCCTAGCCAGCCTTTCCACATTGCTGGCATTTTCCCTTTGGGACTTCCCCATTTTGGACCGGTAGGATTCCAATCTTTTGCTAGGGCTGAGGCAAACCGGGTTTAAGGCGCCATCTAGTGCTGAAAAGGAGGCAGTGACCTAGCCCAAAAATGTAACAGGTAAATTAAGAAGAATCTAGCCATACCCAATTAAAACCAAAAAAGCCAGATAGAGAAGACTGAAATAAATAACTAATCTTTCAGCGCAGAAACATAGACATACATGCACAAGAAGAAACAACAAGCAGGAAACCATGACCTTCCCAATTGGAATAAGCAAGGAACCAGTGTCTCACCCTAACAAGGCAGCAATATGTGAGCTTTCTGACTAAAAATTCAAGGAAATCAACAGAGGCTGGGAATAGTAGAGGGTGCAAAAAGTTGATTAATGGGTACAAATATACAATTAGATATACGAAGTAACACGTTGTGTTTAATAGCTCAGTTGAGTGAGCTATTATAGTTAACATTAATTGATTAACATTAATTGATTGTGCATTTCAAAATAGCTAGAAGAAAATAATTCAAATGTTCCTAGTGTAAAGAAAAGATAAGTATTTGTGGTGACAGGTATCTCAATTACCCTGATTTGTTTACATGAATGTATCAAATTATCACACAATTGTGTAATAGATGTACATAAATATGTACCTCTGTGCTAATTAAACATAAATAAATAATTTATAAAGTATATGATAGCCATAGAAGGCATGGCAAAAATACAGCCCAAAATTGCACCTGAAGGCCATCATATTTGTTATTGTCTGGTTTTGAACTATTTGGTAGTAAGAGGTGCTCCTTACAATTGTTTCTTGGCAAACATTTATTCCTTGATTTAACCTTGTTGCAATGAGTGTTAAGAGTTCACTGTACACTCCTGATTCTGTGGCCACAAAAAAGAAAGAAAAGAAAGAAGGATGCCGGGCGTGGTGGCTCACGCCTGTAATCCTAGCACTTTGGGAGGCCGAGGGGGGTGGATTGCTCAAGGTCAGGAGTTCGAAACCAGCCTGAGCGAGACCCTGTCTCTACCAAAAATAGAAATAAGTTAATTGCCCAACTAAAAATATATATAGAAAAAATTAGCCGGGCATGGTGGCGCATGCCTGTATTCCAAGCTACTCGGGAGGCTGAGGCAGGAGGATCGCTGAGCCCCGGAGATTGAGGTTGCTGTGAGCCAGGCTGACGCCATGGCTCTCACTCTAGCCTGGGCAACAAAGTGAGACTCTGTCTCAAAAAAAAAAAAGAAAGAAGGAAGTAAGGAAGAAGAGAAAGAAAGAAAAGAAAGAAAAAGGAAGGAAGGAAGGAAGGAAGGAAGGAAGGAAGGAAGAAGGGAAGGAGAGGGGAGGGGAGAGGAGGGGAAAGGGAAGGGAGAAAAGTGTGACAAACTAGAAGTTTTAAAGAGGTCCCATAACAGAGAACAGGTGTGGTTATTGGAAGACTCACCTTTAGCCATCACCGGTGATGAGGATTAAGCCTTTCTCCATACCACCCACCGTGACTACAACTGTCCTTACTCACTGATCCACCAAAATAGGTAAAATAATTATCTTGTTTTTATTAATCTTTCTTAAATGTATATTTAGCTCCCATTTATTTCAATGTTTAACGTTCAAAGTGTTTTGGTCTTTATTTAGAAATGTGGTGATGTTTTGTGACCAGAAATATACCTTAGAAACTTAACTCTTATTTATATCACTTAGCCTACGTGGCTTTGATTAAGGTTGCAGTTTCCAAAAACTTACCGATGATGTTACCTGAAGCCTTGCTGCACACTTGATAGTTACAGGCTGCTTCCAGAAGCCATAATTTCCCAGTATTTCCAGTCTGTGGTCCTGCTAGGCTTTGATTTCTAGAGAAAGCCCTTAGAGGACAAAATAGTGAGCACCAGCGTGCAGATCGGGTGATGTCAGTAGAGGTCCAGTAGAGCATAGGCTACAGCTCTGAATTTTATTTACTGGAAGATTTGTTAACTCATTTGCTAAGAAATTTCTGGAAACCATGGAAAAATTACTCTTTAATTTTTTATTATTCATTTTTTCTCATTATTAAAAACAATTAAAATTTATAAATTAATGAACTAAAAAATTTTTAAAATTTGTTGATACACACTTTTTTGGTAAATTAATACTTTTAAGGTTTATATATGGCACTACACTTTTAGTTATTGAAAAGGCAAAATTGCCATTGCTGCTATTTTTTTCTATCATTGGAAAAAAACCTTTTAAGTAGTAGCCAAAAATAAAAAGGTTAGTGAGATTTCATAGGTGAAACTCTTGAATTGACTTTTCTGAATCTTCCTGTTAGTTCCATAATAAATGAAGATTTCTTTAAATGAGAAAAATCAGTTTGCTTCCCCCAGACCAGCGGTTCAACCTTCCACTCCCACTTTTGTTGTGTGTCCTGGTAGAGGTCTTTTTGTGAAAGACCTTCACAGTAAAAAGAGAAAGAGATTGTTGAGATAAATTATTTATCTGGTTTTAGATATCTCTTTCCCATTAAAATCATGGTCCTTTGGTTCAGTGGTAAACTGAAATCATCCCAACATGAATTCTGCACAATTTTCTGGGAGTTGTGGGTATCCCACGTGCATTGCCAAAGGCCACTGGATCCGGGTCTCACCGAAAGGGATTCCTGGGATACTTGGTGTCAGATTGCTAGGCTTAGCCAACATGCACCTGTAGCTGCTTCACTCCTGCTATTCCCAATTCAAATGTACTTACCATTTCAGAAACTTTCTTGGGCTTCTCTACTTTAACTCTGCAGAATGTCTGATAAACTACCCTTCTCATATAGTGTTTTAGAATCTGCTAATATCAAATAAATGAAATCATTTCTCTGGGATTCGGAAGCCAGGGGGATACAACAGCTGTGACTGAACAGATGTCAATACCATGTTCGGTTTGTAAGGACAGAAGTTTTTTCCTGCTGTTCTGTTTACCACTATACACTCGGTACCTGGACATTCTACGTTTGCAGAAACAAAATGTCTAAGCATTTTCAAAAGCATTTACATGATTTCTAGATTTTCACAATATGATCCGCTCTGAGTCCTTATTAGTTCTTTGATAAATTTGGCATGGAAAGGTGTGAAATGCATCCTCATGGGCTGTCATTGAAGTACTGTACTAATAATACTTGGCACAACGGAAGTAATGAAAATGGCAAGGTATTGAATAGAGACTGATTTCATCACAGGGCACAGCCCTGCTAGATACTCTTTAAACTTGAATGTAATGATTTTGAGGACCATGGGAAATGTCTTAATTTTAAGAAACATATTGCTAAAAAGACCATATTGCTAAAAGACCTAATTTTAGTCAAACCCGTGACATGAATTTCCTTTCTTTCAAAATGATTCTCACCAACTATTTTGAATAATTTCTATATAAAAACTAATATTTATAGTTTATAAAATTAATATTGAATCTCCATGTAACACTTTTTTTCTATTTGATTTTGCAGTATCCTCTGTGACAGTAGAATGGTATTTATAGGAAGTAAACTGTGATCTTATTAACAGAGATATCACCTTCAGAAAGAATTAATAGAAACATGACTATGTCACAGCAACGTTTTGTATTAAAAAAACTTTAATGCTGATAAAAGAAAAAAGCAAATACAGAAACTGCATGCTAAAAACACTATTTGTTGTAAAGCAGAATCTCAGAATGGCCTAGGATTTATGAGGGTTACTCAAAACAGATGGGAAATAATTGTCTGAGCTTTTGTCCACAGAACACTGAGTAAAAACATACAAGTCACCTGGTTCAATATTAAAAGGCAATATTAACCAACTAAGGCCCCCAATGCCCCAATGGAATATAAATTATAAATGAATGTAAGTATAAATAGTGATATGATATATAGGTCTATAAATTTAGCTAACATTTAAACATATAAAATATGTATTACAGGACAAATTCTGAATTTTAGTAGCCAAATGCCTACATCAATTCAAATATTACACTTTCCTTAGAGGTATAGAGACAGAGCCTAAATAATTCACAATTTATTAATAATTCAAATCAGGGCTGACTTATGCATTAGGCAGAGTAGGCAGAGTGCCTGAGGCCCAGGATAATTTAGGGCCCATGAAAATGTTTTAATTTCTTTTGAAATCAGAAGAAAAGCATGAAGGTTTAGTGTCAAAGAAAATATTATTTCTTTCTCACAAGAGAAAAAGATGACATTTTTAGGGCCCACCAATATCTCCTAAATTTTTACTAAAACAGAAAAAATGTTGAAGTATTTAAAGTCATATCAAAAATAATTCTTAATGTTGATATCATTATAGTAGGAAGGTCCCACAAAAGTCATCTTGCAGTCCTGCCAACATTAAATGAATGCAAAGAGAGAAGTATTTTCAGTTGAATAAGCAAATCTCAAAGCATTTTTGGATAATATTGCTTTGCAAGAATCATAGTTAGACAAAAGAAAAATCCATTGATCAGAAAGCTGTGCCTACCTTCACACAGTGCTACAGAAAGCATGAAACTGCCAAGAGAGTAATAGAGCAGCAGCCAGCTTGGAAATCATGTTTACACTGGAAGGTTTCTTTCCAGTTTCCTATGGCCCCTAGATGCTGGGATGCTTAGCTGTCTCTGGGGATTTGCAAGGGCTGGAATTCTCCCGAGGCTTTTTATATGATTGCAACATTAAACGTGTGTGGATTCTCATCCTTGCACTACGTTACTGGAAATTACACAAAATTCAATATCCCCCCCCTGCACTTTGAAACTAACCCTGACAGAAACAAACACTCCTAGGTCTCTTAACAGATTTCCAGCATGCTTAAATTTTAACCTGATTGAGTATGACTATTTTGTTAAGTGTACATAATTTTCAGTTTGCTTGTTACTTTTATTTATAACCCTAATTTTCATAATATTTATATTTAAGAAATAACTTTAAACTTATAGAAAAGTTGAAAGAACTATGTAAAGAATTCCAGAATACTTTTCACCCACATTTCCCAGTATTTCCTAAGAACAAGAACATTCTTTTATAAAACCAGCACAATGATCAAAGCCAGGAAATTAATGTCAATACAGTACTATTATTTAATTTATAGACTTTATGCAAATTATGACAATTATCCCAATAATATCCTTTACATAGATGGGTGGATAGATTCATAGATAGATAGATAGATGGATAGATAAAACTTTTCCAGGATCTAATGCAGGTCTTGTATCACATTTAGTTGTCAGATCTCCTTAGTCTCCTTTAGTCTAGAACAGTTCTTCAATTGGAATTGTCTAATGTTTCTTTATGATTAGATTCATTTTTGGCAGCAATCTCCAAGGGTGATGTTGTGTACCTCTCTGTGCATTATATCAGGATATAGTTTTACTTCTGCACACACAAAGAATAGTTTAAAAGACTTTTCCCCCAGGAAATCGAAAATTAAAGTACCAGTTTATGCACAGACTGGGTGGCTTCAAGAACAGGAATTTATTTTCTCACAGTTCTGGAGGCTGGAAGTCCAAGGCCAAGGTGTGGATAGGTTTGGTTTCTTCTTAGGGCTCCTTGGCTTGCACATAGCTGCCTCTTGCCATGGCCTCTTCTCCGTGTGCACAGCCCTGGTGTCTCTTGCTCTTCTTATAAGGACCTCAGTCATCGTAGACCAGGGCTAACTCATACGACCTTGTTTAACCTTAATGACCTCTTTAAGGCCTTATTTCCAAACACAGTCACATTCTGCGGTGTGCCATTCAGAGCTCAACATAGGAATTTCTGGGGACCACAATTCAGTCCATAACACCGAATGAAGCTCCTTCACTCTATTCCCACTGTTGTTCGTTTCATTTTATAAGAAAAGTGTTAGTGTCTGGGTATAATGAGCACTGTTGAAGAGCCTTCGCAGCAGTTACAATTGATAAATACTTTATTTTGGTTGAGCACCTTTCTTGTTTTCTGAGAAGTCAACGTTGCAATGAACAGCGGAGGCCTGTGCATGTACACGTATGCGGAGGAGACGATGAAAGAGAGTTGAAATCTAGAGTAATGTGCTCACTAGAGAAGCAAAGTGCACATTTACTCTACAAGCATTTAGTTCCTAATGTTTTTAGTGTTTTAATTGTCTTGAACTTAATCATTTGTTCATTAACTTAATAATGTTATTTAATAAGCTCAGTGTTACTAATAATTTCACAAATACTTTTTGAACATGTTATGTGCCAAGCACTGTGGTAGGTGTTGTAAGTACAACAGTAAATAAGATATAGAAGGAAGATATATACAGAAGATATTTCCTCTTTTATAGATCTTGCAGTCGAGTGAAGCTATGAATGGGCAAGTCAAATGCGGTAAGTAGAGAGTAATTACTGTCCTCTTGACTGTCCCTTGGGTTAGCTATGCTGCTGATGTGACCAGAAGGGGCACGCAGAGGTAAGAAAGCAGAGGTCTTGGAATCTGATTTCTTGGACAGAGGCTGCCCTGCTTAAGTCAGGCCCATGTCTGGCTACCCAGCCCTGCCAGGTCCTGTCCAGCCCTGGCTGCACTTACCTGTGTTGTAATGCTCTGCTTACCGCATTTGACTCCACCTTTTCCCCCTTAATAACAGGAGGTGAATCTGAATCCCAAGCACCTAACATATCGTGAATACTCAGAAAAATCTGCTGAATAGAGTTGGCTCGGAAGCCTGGAGTTCCTGTGTCTGAGGCCAGCTTCCTTCTGTTGGCTCCCTTCCAACCGCTGCATGCCTGACATGTCACTAATCCCTAGACAATGTCATTTGTTGACATGGTTACAAAGCCCCGTACACTTGTGGACTTTCCCAAGGATTTCAGAATCTCCCTTTAAAATCCCTTTCCCCCAGCACTTACATCACAGATGCCTCCGGATAAAAAGAATAATAGGGCATTGTTACCTTGAGGATAGATCAACTATTGCCAAACATCTCCCACAGGAGCTTTGCTGCTTTTAGGAGCCACAAAAGAGGAAACCAAATGAGATTTACTTTACAAATATGACGAAGTAAAATGTAACATGCGCATTTTAATGCAGCAGACATGAGAGTGGTTTGGGTGGAGATCCAGAAAGACAGAAAGACATCTGTTAGGCTATGACTAGTTCAAAATACCACTTTAGTGACAAGGAAAGAAAAGTCTGTTTGAAACTAAGCTAAAGGAAGCTTTTCATAAAATCACTGCAGTGACATATATCAGAGTCACCCTTTTGGCCATACAACAGAACCTTCTTACGTTGGTCACTGTTACCACTTATTAGGGTCACAGTTGCTAACCTGAACATCAGGATGAACATTTTTACATAATTTAAGCAACAATGCCAAGCAGATAGATCGAACTTCGTCACCGTCAGGGGTGCACATGTCGGGCCGCAGTCCGAAATGTCGCTTCTCGGTGCGCTTATGGCGGAAGAACGACCAGACGCACCAAAGTAAGGCGAGCATAAACATGAGGTTGGTTGAGGATAGAAAGATGGGATTACAGAGCAAGAGCAAGATATAGGTTTACAGAGCAAGCTACATACACCACAGATGATGACCGGCTTCATTGCCCCAACAAAAACAGAAGAAAAAAGGGTTTGGTTATGGTCTGGGTCTTGTTTTATAGTGTCAGGATTGGGACCATCCTCATGGCTCACATGTCACCATGGAACCACTTTGATCTGACAGTTGGGAGTTATGTGACCCTAGTCTTACTGTGCATGTGAATTTCCCATGAATCTCTGTGAAAGCCTATTTGGGGGGATGAACGGCAATGGCACCCACTTTCTCCCTAGGGGACCCGGAATCCCTCACTATCTACCTAACAGATGTACCTTGAAGCTAATTAGGATCTCTCACTAGTTCAGGCTTTTTTCAAGTTCAGGGCCCTTGGAAAGGGTCCTAGCAATGTGTTTACGTGGTCATATATTTTTACAAAATTTGTTGACGCTATATATTTCAATCAAATTGGCTAGGAACTGCTTTTTTTCTCTCACTCTCACTTCCTTTCTTTATATTTCCCTTTGTACTGGGTGATCTTGGAGTAGCTGTAAACATTTTTGAGATCTGGCTAAGAGGAAGTTGAGTTGAGGATACTCAAATGTGGTTTAGGTTTAGTGACATGTATTTTATTGGTTCACAGTTACATTATGAATGGCTGTGTCTTTACTAGCCATCCTGCTGTGAGAATAGCTTCTAGGAATACCCCTTTGCTTACTGTGCACACTCACCCAGCTTCCTGATGCAAAAGTAAGATGTGTTCTAAAGTACACAACACCAAAATGATGCAGGTTTGGGAAAAACAAGGCAGAACACAGAACAAAAAGCCAGTCTTTTTCAGCCAGCCAAATTCTTCCAATAATCAGAGTGAAAAATTATAAGCCGAAGATTCAGTTTATTTCAATCCTAGATAAAACAAACCCTTCCATACACTCAATAATGCAGAGTCTTTGATTATAATTGTTTTATACTTTTTCCTCTATTTGATTGGAATGATCATGTTCAACTAGAATTTAATCATGTTACGTAGACTCTATCAGAATTTCTGTGTTTGTAGGGCATGCACCTGTAGTAGCATGACAAACACTGAGTACATCTTTATGTGAAGTTGCATACTTTATGCATCCAGCTAGCAATAATAGCTACTTTTCTTTGATAAAATGTCATTTAACTTAGTCATTTAAGTTCACATTGTTAATGTACAGCAGCCTTCCTTTCCAACCACAGGTTAACACACACTAAGAAGCCAGGCTGTTAGAAGAGCAAGAAAACTTTAGAAAATTCGACTGTCTGAAACAAAAGCAAGCCACTCTCCACTAAGAGTGGGTGCATCCCTGATTTCCACCCTCATATTCACACTGAGAGCTCTTGCTCAAAGGAAAGAATCTCCTATTTCAATTCTTGTTGTCCTCTTCTAAACTAACATGGTCATCTATTCTGTATAAACCTGTGTGTCAACATCAAAAAAAGTTGAATTGAAAGATGATGTGGGAGGGTCTCATAGTTCTAATAACATGAAAGATAGGAGAACACTGGCTATAATTGTGTTTTGGCACTAGCGTCTGGACCTATAACTAAAGGAGGTTCTTCATTCTTCCTAACCAATATGTATGACAGGTATTCATCATTTTTGCTAGACTTAGATGTACCATGTTTCCCCAAAAGTAAGACAGGGTCTTATATTTATTTTTCCTCAAGAAGACACCCTAGGGCTTATTTTCAGGGGATGTGTTATTTTCCCCTCAAAGTCTCAGCTTGCAGCACACACAGGATGGCCGGGACCTGATAGGGGGAGCCGACCTTGTTGGCGGGGCTGCCCGCACCTTTCTGGTCACCTCTGGGACAGTCGCTGTCACGATGGGGCAGATGAGAAGGGCTGCTGTCTTCTTTACCCCTCTGTGATGAAATGCATGGGTTGTGCAGATCCGCTGCGTAGCCACGCCCATCACTAGGTCTTATTTTTGGGGTAGGGCTTATATTGCGCAAATGCTTAGAAATCCTGCTGGGGCTTATTTTATGAGTAGGTCTAATTTTCGGGGAAACACGGTACTTAACAAGATCTTATAAGCTCAATCTCAAATCCACCAATGGAATTTTTACTGTAGTCTCTCCTATAGTCAAAAAATAATGGGAATAACTGAACAGTACTTATATACCAGATCAATATTCGAGAGGAAATGTTCTCATACATTAAATACTTTCAAACTGTTTCTCCTGCCTCCCTACCCCAAAAGAAATTGCCATTATTTCTTTGTCTCAGGGAAATGGTATTTTAATAAAACACTTACTGTGATAGTACCATTTACTGAGCATGCAAGTTGAGAGAGCACTGGAGTGAAGACATGATGCTGTGATTTGGAATCTCAGCTCTTCCACTTGCTCCAGGTAACTTAGGGCAACCTCGCTGAGTCCTTGTTACCTCATCTATCAAGGCGAGGTTTGCATGAGAAATCAAATGAATTAGTCCATAAAAAAGCCAGCACACTGCCCAGCCCAGAACAAATACTCAATATATATTTTAATTCCTATTCTTTGTGGCTTTGCCCAGAAATCATTCTTTATTGTGACCTCACTGTAGCCTCGAAACCCACAAACCTAGACATTAATACGTATATCAATAAGCTCCCACATTGCAAAAGTTTGGAGTTTTCATGTTCATCTGTCCTTGGGAAGAGAGACGATAACCAGCTCACCTGAGGTCACACAGCTGGTCAATTACAGAACTGAAACAGGGGAACCTGGGTCCCACGGGCTGCAGACTCCAAGTCCAGCAGGACACTGGTTCTCCACCCCACCTGGTCTATCAGTCAGCTTCAAGGGTGTACATCCTGCAAGCGGCACTTTTAAGCAAATGGACCATGAATTATTACTTTGGTGCAGAATATATCAAAGGAGAAGCTTAAGGTAAGATTTAAAATTACAAGAGAACATTGTTTCTGCTTCCCTGATCTGTTTCTTCATCCCAGTTCTGGTGACTCACCTCCTTTGCTTCAGGCGTCTTGCTGGAGTGCTGTGGGGCATCACAGGAGATGCCCATGCCTGGGGAAAACCCAGCACTAAAGCAGATAAATCAAGCCCTTGCTAGAATGTCAGATCCACGAGGGCAGGAATGTTTCAACTTTATTCACTGATGTGTCCCAGGCTCCTATAATAGTATGTGGAACATAGTAGATGCTCTGGCAAATGAGTGAATTCTATTGAACAAGGATGAGAGTTTGACCTCTAACCTCTCAAGGGACTGTCAGGCAATTCTGATCTGGCCCGTAGTCTGATTCCCTACAGCACTCATGACAGCTGGCTGGGAATGCTGTCAGGTGTCGGGTGGTCTCCACCTATCCTGTAAACTCTTCTAGGCTGGACCTTGTCTCTGAGAACAATGCTACACCCTGGTGGGTGCATTTTATTTATATGTGTGTGTGTGTGTGCATGTGAATGTGTGTATATATACACACATATATACATACATATGTATATAATCACTGTTGGAGAAATTGATACTTGCAAAATTATAAAGTCAGTTTTATTGGTATATTTCTACCTCACAGATACAATTTACTTTAAACCACAGTAATGCAAGTAATGCTTCTTTTTAAAAGTCCAGAAAGCCAATGTCTTCATCTACGACCTAGTGGCCTATCTATTGGTATCCTTTCACCAGAAAGCTCTTTCTGCTAAGTACCTAAATCAGAATTGTACGGAATTAAAGGCAAAGGAGGTAGACCGTTTTGAAGGCTCTTTAGTCCAGGCATGGTGAGTCCTCCCAGAGTCCGCCTTCCTGTGAACAGTTGAGGGTCCCTGCCCCATACCACCCCTGGCTATTTTGATGTTTGTAGTAACTGCATTTCACACTGTGGATAGCATTTTCAATACAGGTGCATTTTATACAAAAATATTTAGAAAATAATGATGATAAACTCTAAACAAAAGGAATAATAATTTTTAAATCATATAAATGCAAAAATTTCTTATCTAGTTTAAAATAATATTCTTCTATAGTTTCCTGGAGCTGTTTCTCCAGTGACTGTCTTTCTTTTGTGTGCCTTTGAGTCACCCATTTCTGTCTTTGCCTATAAATTTGATACCACACTTTTAGAATTAGAGGGCATAGCCTCCAGTTGTGGGCATGCATTGAAGAGTAAAATTTATTAAATCAGAATGTCACAGAAATCATATTGACATCTGATCTTTGACAAAGCAGACACTGGGGAAAAGAATTTCTATTCAATAAATGGTGCTGGGAAAACTGGATAGCCACATGCAGAAGACTGAAACCACTACTCACAAAAATTAATTCATGATGGAAAACAGACTTAAACCTAAAGCATGGAACTATAAGAATTCTGGAAGAAAATGTTTGGAAAACTCTTACAGACATCAGCCTAGGCAAAGAATTTATGAAGTAGACCCCAAAAGCAATCACAGCAACAACAAAAATAAATAAATGGGACCTGATCAAATTAAAAAGTTTCTGCACAGCCAAGGACACAATCAATAGAGCAAACAGACAACCTACAGAATGGGAGAAAATATCTGCATACTATACATCCAATAAAGGGCTGATAACTAGAGTCTACAAAGAACTCAAGCAAATCAGCAAGAAAAAATTAAACAACCCCATTAAAAAGTGGGCAAAAGACATGAACAGAAGCTTTTCCAAAAGAAGATAAACAATGGCCAACAAACATGAAAAAATGCTGAATATCACTAATCATCAGAGAAATGAAAATCAAAACCATTAGGTGAGATGTCACCTAATCCCAGTGAGAATGGCTCTTATCATAAAGTCCCAAGACAACAGATGCTGGCATGGGTGCGGAGAGAAGGGAGAATGTCCAAGGGATTCCAGCCAAGGACAGTGAAGGGAGAAGATGGAGGATACAGTAAGGCGGATCATGTTATGCAGATCCTGTTCATGTAGAGCCATGAGCAGTAGTGTGTTAGTGATAAGGAAAAGCCCATCTATTACCTGGCGCATCAGCATAACACTGAACCTACTACCTAGTGTATCAACTACCAGGTGCATCAACATAATATTACCTGGTGCATCAACATAATACTAACCTATTACCTGGTGGGCATTAGTCACCTGATATCCCACCGCTTAGACCATCCCAACTTAATAAAAGTGGGAAAAATCGGGTAGGTGGGGCTCAGAATTTGTGGTGAGACCCCTCTGAGCCCTCCAGCAAATAAACTTTGATTCTTGAACTCTGCGTGTGCCACTCGGTTTGTCCTCAGGACCACCTGCTGTAACACTTGCTGTAACATCAGTAAGCCAGTGCTCAAGTATACAAAAACCCCAGATTTGTAGCATTTGCTGATTTCCATAGTATAAACAATCCCACTACGGCCAAATTTATGCTACCAACAGCTAGTCACTGACTTTCACAATTCTGGACAATTTTACAATCCATTCTTGTAAGCCCATATGAGCGGACATGAACGCAGCAGTGCGGGCAAGTGAGGTTGAGAAGCTCTCACTGACCAAGGGGATGGTGACTCTTCAGTTACAGAATACTTTTTCTGGGGTTCTCTTTTCTTGTAATGAAGTCACTGAATTCTGTGTTTTACTTTATGAAGTTGATGTTCTTCATATCCTTTAACTCAAGGGGAGTTTTTCAAGTGGAAAACTGTATATATTGCAATAAGGTCACCCCTCAAGTGCCAGGAGCCTCTGTTCTCAAGTTGAAATGCCAATTACTATCCTTCAGTGGATCTGGCCACTCTGACTGAGATGGGAGGAGTAGGCGAGAAAGGAATGGAATGTCAGTGAAATCACATCCTGTCCTCACTCTGCCCTGGGGCCTCACTCACTCCCAGTTTTGCATCTCAGACCTTGGCTTTTCTGTGAAATGAATGTTCTTTGGCACTAGCTTCCAGGAAAATTGGAAGCTAGCCTCTAAAATAAGCTAATATCATCCATAAGCCAGGCCAAAAGAAAACAAAGAAACATTTGGCACTCCTCAGAAGTTGTCTTCGAGAAATTGTTTTCCGTACGTTATTTGCATAAATTTGTCATGGGCTTTCCATTTCAATGGAAGGGGAAAACAGCAGGACCTTGAGTTCCCTGGCATCCTGCTGCCCTTTGCAGCCGAGGTCAGGCTGTGTCTCTTGTTGCTTCTTTTCTGCTCCTCTTAGTGGACTAAAGACTGCAGATCTGACTGCAGATATGATCGTATTCAAAATTGTGCTATGAGTGAGCAGCTTGAATGGCACCATAAGATTTAATTTGGCTAATGTTTCAGTTTGTTGAGCCATAAGGCTGACAAATAGCTATAGCCCAAGCAGCAGCCTTTTTGAATCAGTGCACGTGCGAAAGAGATTGCAGCTAAAGGCTCAGCACAGCAAACACTCTTGGCACTACTGTCTGGCTCCACCACTCTATTCCAGGGTGTAGAATAAAGCCACACTCAGTTCAATGGCGTCGCTTCCTATAAATTCAGCATAAATCTCAGACATTCAGAAGTATATCCAAGACACATAATGAACAGCACTTGGTGTTCAGCCTTTTCCTTCCCTCACTGTGAAAGTGTCCCACCAGGAAATAACAGTAGCTACCAGCCTATTAATTCATGAGCATTTTGATGCCTCTTAAATGGTAAGTGTAAGTTGAGAAATGAATTTCCTGCCGCTGAAATTCCAATACCTTAAAAACCCTTCAATGATCAAATGTGTTTATTCTTTGTATTAATAATGGAAAAAAAGGTTTTTTAAAAACCAAACAATTTAAATGTCTTGGCAAATGTCAACTTGGTGGGTTAGGATCCTAAGCCACCGACATTGGGTAGCTAGTGCTGCAGTTTTTCCAGCATCCATGGAAGAATCAAGAAAGGCAAGACCGTGATTCTTCATTTTCCCTAATCATGTTCTGTTGTTCTAACGTTATCATAAAATGACTTTAATTAAAATGCTAATATTAATTAAAGTTAATGAATTTCTCATATGAGGTCTTAACTATTGAAATGTATTGTCTACATTCCATTTCCTTTCTTTCCCAAGAACACCCTCTCAATTCATTAAGCACTGTTGCCTTCCTAGCACTTATAAAGTGAACCCTGTGTGTAGATAAAAACACAAAGAAAAAATAAATAACTCTTGTTTCAAAAAAGCGAAAATTCCTCTGATGGGGTACTAAAATGAGCACAAATTAAAATACATTATAATAATAATACTCAGCTTCTTCCCCACATTCATCTCTTCAGTCGCCTGGTGGAGGATACCTTTTCAGGATCCTCTCCTACATACTCCATCAGGCCAGTATCTAACAAGTGTGGGCGGTTGAGGAAGAATTCAAAGACAGGCCTGGGGTTCTCTTTCTAAATATTTAAAGTTTTTTAAACCAGTTCTCAAAATGTTAAATAAAATGAGTCCTGTCTTTCTACCTTGACAAATATACAATTGTGTGTCACATAATGATGTTTTAATCAACGATAGATCACATATACAGTGGTGGGCCCATAACATTATAATACCATATTTTTACTTTACCTTTTCTATGTTTAGGTACACAGATACTTACCACTGTGTTACAGTTGCCTGCAGTCTTCAGTCCAGTAACATGCTGTACAGGTTTGTAGCCTGGGAGCAATGGGCTACAGCACACAGCCGAGGCGTGTGGTAGGCTACACAATCTAGGTTGTGTAAATGCACTCTGATGTTCACACTAGGAGGAAGAACCTAGTAGCACATTTCAGAATGTGTCTCGATCATTATGCAACACATGACTATATATCAATACCATTTTAAAAATATGTAAAGCTACGGATTCTGTATGATGAGAATCAGTGAAATATCAGAGACAATTATGTTTGTTATTCCACATCTGGGTGTTCTGTTATTGGACAGGCAGGCTATATTTGGATAAAATAAAGTCATAATTTATGATTTATTCTATATATATCATATAAAATTTATTTTACTTGATTTCATTTCAGCAAAATCAGTAATAAAGTTTTCATAATTGACATTTTTATATAATTTTTGTTCTATAGACAGAAATGCCAAATTAGACATTAATTGAATCACTTAATTATTAGATTTCTTCATTGTTAATTTAAGTTTGGAGAAGTGTCACCCTGCTAATGCAGGGACACTAAGATTCCTAAAACATTACTTGGAGGCAGAAACAAACCATGAATTTTATGTCGTGTTCACACATGATCATGGGTCACCTCTGGGAAATTACCCAGACACTGAGCTTTCAGAATAAATAAGTAACACATGGTGGACTGATTCCTTACGGTTGTGCTTATTAACTGATCTTAGAATGATAGGACGGGGAAATTGTTGGCAGTAAGGGCACCTGACCCTTGTGACTTTTAGTAAGCTCCTTAAGCCAAGTGCCCTGTGAAAATACTGGTTTCTGTTGTTTTTGTTTTGTTTTTTACTTACTTCTAGCTCCTCATAGAGTTCCAGTGCCTAAGAGAATGGAAGGGAGCCCGACCGCCTTCATCACTCATTAGCCTCCTCGGTATGTCACTCTGGGATGCCCGGCCTGGGAACTGACCTGTTAGTCCAGAGATGTTTAGGGTTAAGGATGTTTAGGTTAAGGGTCATTTGGTGTCAGCACTGGGCTCTGGTTGCTCATGTGGCAGCGGTTCCCGCGTGTTCTCTGGCGCATTTCTCTGGCGCATGGCTGTGACAGTGAGGCCTTCTGAAACTTAGGCTCAGGACAGGGGGACCGCTTTCTTGAGTCTGAGGGCAGTACTGGACCCCATATGGAACTGACCATACATGATGCATTATTTTTTCTTTCTCTATTCTATCCTTTAGAATGTAAGCTCTATAAGAACAAGGAGAGCGTTTTATCCTTTTTTATCCCCAGTCCCTTACATATATAATTCCTGGCATAAACATTGGGTTATGACCACGTGTTGGCATCCCTGTCTGTTCGACTAGACTGTGGTTCTTCTGAAGGAAGGAATAGATGTTTTGATTCCCGAGTCTCAGTGCCTCACTCAGCCCTGGAAACATACATGGCTGCTGCTTGATAAACAAGTCCACGTGCAACCGCAGAACTGTACTGAGCAAGAGGGGAGACAGTTCGGTCCCTTCCCACATGGCCTGAATGTTAGTTTGACAAACATTCAAAAGAAACAAGAAGAAAATACAGAACCAGAAGGGCGCTGGAAACCAAAGTAGCTCCTGGTCTCCATTCCACCATTTCAGCTACCTTAATTTTACCTCCTGTTTTCAAGTCTTCATTCCTGAATCTTGGACCACCAGTTGGACAAACTCCTCAAAGTTAGCTAAGGAACTTCAAATTCCTTGGACATGCTTCTCTTTTCTGCCTTTCAAGAATCTTTTATTCTTTTATTTTCTTTTTCTCACCATTCTCAGTGTCTTCCCTTCTTTTTGAACTCATGAACTCATGAACTTTCATCCTTCTCTGCTGGGTGCCATGGAGGTGGAGCAGCAGAGAGGGAAGAGGGTTGTCGCGGTGTTTTACACACTGCTAAGGCTACCAATTTTGTTTCTTTCCTTCCACTTCCAGGGAAGTGACCGGACTCTGGAAGAATGGCTATCCTCTACTTAAGAGATTAGCAAGCACTGGCATTACCAACCTTAGCAAGGACTTCTGTGCCACAGAATGGATGAGAGCTCCACATCCCTGCACTTTAAAGACCATGTCAATGTTTGTCCTTTGATGGAAAATCAAGGACTGTTTAAGCCAAGTCCAGAGGGACACCCTGCAATGTTTTGCTCTGTGTAAATCCTTCAGCACCTTTGTACTTTCAGGCTGTGTGGTCAGGGAACCACAATAATGACTGAGATTGAATAGTTTTGTCCCTGGTGGAATGAAGGCATAGGGTCAAACCTGATCTGATTTAAAGACAGTAATGTAAATTTTCTTGCACATTCAAGTTTATGGAGCAAAATTCAGACCCACCACCCAATGTTTGTTTCTTTTAACTTTTTTTTTTTCTTTTTTGAGACAGAGTCTCACTTTGTGGGTTGGACTAGAGTGCCGTGGCATCAACTTCGCTCACAGCAACCTCCAACTCCTGGGCTCAAGCAATTCTCTCGCCTAAATCTCCCAAGTAGCTGGGACTACAGGCACACACCACCACACCCAGCTAATTTTTACTATTTTTAGTAGGGACAGGGTCTCACTCTTGCTCAGACTGGTCTCAAACTCCTGAGCTCAAGTGATCCTCCCGCCTCGGCCGCCCAGAGTGCTAGGATTTCAGGCGTGAGCCACTGCGCCCGGCCTACCACTCAATGTTTGAAAGTTTGAAGAAGTGATGTAAAGGAAAGCAGAGGTTGGACTTTTATTATAAGAGAATGTTGAGAACACAAAATTTAAATTTAGCCACTGACTTTGCTTTTGTTCCAAGTGTAATTGTCACAGGCATGCAATAAATCTAACAGTCCATATCTCACAAAGCTTTGCCTATTTTCCATATGTTTTTATGTTGGATATTTATGCAAGGTAGAGAAAAAAAATGACTACAAAGATGTGACAGAAAAGGCTTCCACCACAGATAAATATATTATTCAAAATTTCTTCCATTGTCCAAAGATTTTATATTCATATCCAATGAATAATTTATATAAGATATTGAATTTAACAAATTCTACAATGGAAACAAAGACTGTGATTATTTTTGTTAGCTTATGGGATTCATATTCGTCCTGATTCACTTTAGCTCAAAGGCAGAGTTCTCAGAAGGTTATTGCCTCAGTGGTGGGGGTCAAATTAATCCAAGCCTAAGGGGTATCGTGGATCCACAGTAAGAAAGCTTAGAAACAATTTTAGAAAGGATCAAACTGATAGCAGGTAACTTAACTGCTGTAGCCTAAGTTTTACCCCTACTTTGTACCTTCAATACCACAAGAGTTATTTTGCTAAAATACAAATACAACCATGCCACTCATTCACGTGTAAACAAAGTGTCTCTTCTACCTACAGTGTAAAGTCCACAATTCTTAGTATGGCAGATGCCTTTGTTTCCTAATACAAAAAATGGGTGTATTTTGAGTATCTATTTCTTGGGTTACTGTAAGGAGATTTTGCACATACACATGGATACACACACACGTGCATGAACAATCTCAGCTCTGATTTAGAAATGAAAATATACAAAATAGTATGTTTTAATTATAATTGTCATGTTGGTGTTATTGTAATTTTTGTGCTTTCATTGACAGTCTGGTGGGTTAGTAAGACATTTAGCAAAAACATTGTGGTGAAAATAAGCAAAGAATGTTGAAATTGAAATACAAGTACTTCAATTGATCTTTTGAAAAATTAACACACTAGCAAGTAGGGTGCCAGTGGTAAGGTATTATGGTTTTACTTTTTTTTAATTAATAATTTTCCTTTTGCAACTGCCATGAGCAACATTCTTAGTTCAGTATAATAATTAGTGAGTGTAGTCTAACTAACCAAGGGACCAAAACAAATTTTGCTAAGTCAATCAATGCTGGTGCCATGTTAATCTTTTAACTCTGCTGAGAACACTGTCAAGCTGCAGCCCTTATCAGCAAAAGCCTAGGAAGCTGGCATTCCTGCCGGGAAAATCTCAGATTGCACAGCAATTTCCTGTAGCTCTCTGTTGTGCAAACTTTCAGGGAGTGATGAAATTAAAATAGAATGTGCTTCAACTTTTTTTTTTCTGACTGAAAACTGTTAGCAGGTAATGTCTATAAACTAGGAATTTAGGATATAGGCAAAGCCTTGATCAATATAACAAAACCATTGACAGGCTATTTTTATTCCTGGAAGTTCTTTTTTGCATTTTGTCCCTCTAGCATTTAGGTTTTACACTGTTACCCATGTGTATGAGACACAAAAGTATCACCCAGAATAACACTTAAGCTAAAAGTATGTGATGCATTATGGCATATTTTTAAAAAAATATTCTATCCTATTATATTTTATTCCATTATATTTTCAAATACTGGTTACAACCCACTAAATTGATTTAATGACCCACTAGTGGATCATAACTTGTAGTTTAAAAGTATTGCTCTCATCTCTTGATGACAGAACTGAACTTTAATAGTTCAGGGTGGAGTCTACCTTCTTATTAGTACCATCCAAGATACTCTGAGAGTCACTAGAGGTAAAATGTTAGACAAGTTAGAGCAGGCATCTTCAAACTACGGCCTGCCGGCCACATGCAGCCCACCGAGGACATTTATCCAGCTCCGCCGGGTGTTTTTGGCACCGCTGCCTGTCCTGCTTAGCAGCCAACTCATCCCGGGCCCACAGTGCGCATGTGTGGAATGTGTGCCCACTCTCCAACAGCCCTCCCACGGTCTGAGGGACAGTGAACTGGCCCCCTGTTTCGAAAGTTTGAGGACCCCTGAGTTAGAGTCTTCACATACCTTATCATCTGCCTTCAATCTTAATACCAGATCCTGACCTAGTGCTGGGTGTCTCTGGGGACTTCAGAGGGTGAAGCGTTTGGGATTGATGGCACAGAAGCAGAGGGTTTCTGGGCTGTGAGGGTCCCCTTGTCATCACCTCTACATTTCCCTTTGGTTCCACTATATCCATAATACTGTGAAGAGTTCAAAGGATCTAGTAATGGAAAGCCTGTCTTAACTCTTTCTTTGATGAAAAAAGTTAGAAGAAATAAACAGTATGTAACCACGTCAACTATTTCTTCACCAAGTCAGACACAACAAGGAGATCGTACCACTGTCCAGTTTTGTGTAAGTGACAGCAAAATTTGAAGGCAAAGAAGTCACTAAGCATAAACAGGAGTTAGAACTATCAAGACTTAGTTATCAATGGTGTTGGCTAATCTGTCTTCTATTCTGTAATTCAAAGCATGATATCTCAACCCCCATCAGATCCATCTCTAAAATCTGCTGTAATTATTTATCTCTGCAATCTGTTTCACTTTAGGAGCAAACTTTATGCTAGGGGTAATGTTGGCAAAGTCCTCAAGGCAAGTCAGGGTAAAGTAGAGCCATGCCACTCACCAAGTCACAAGAACGTCAGTGCTCAGCACTGAGCAGCCACCCTAGATTTTGCAGGTATATGAGATTGTACTAGTCAAATCTGAAAGACACAATAAGACTTTCAGGGTAGAATGGAATTTAGGAAGCTGAGCTTCTATTTTAGACATAACTTCATTGGGTTAAACAATTGCATGGATTTACAACGCATGCACATAACAGTAGCATCAGCACTTGTTAAAAGCAGAAGGAATTTGTCATGGTAGGTTTCATAACACTGGTGTTCTTAATAATTTCAAAAACTTAGGAGGGGCTTTCAGGAATGAAATCACTTAAAGTGATGTATTTGGAAAGGGGGAAAAACTACTTTATTTCCTTTCTGAAAGGAAATGAAATAATTTTTATTAGACCAGTTCTAGGAGTCATGGAGATAATTCTATGCATAATGGGCTGATTCTTGACATGTGTTATCTTTTTGGAGGGCTGTTACTATAGACAAATCAAAATTTTACTCTTCCTTAGTATTTACTCATGGCAATACTTTGGGTGGGCCTGACAATCATTAAAAGCTAATATTTTCTAATTGTTTTTTAGTTGCAAGAAATAAATGATAAATTTGGGCAGCCAGATGTTAATGCCCAAGGCAGGGAGACAGTCATTTCTTAAATCTTTTCTAATAAATGGGTTGCATAGAATTTCACTCTTGTTCCCATTTCATGTGGAAAGTAACTGAAACTAAAATCTCAAATAAAAGATTTAAAGAAACTTTTCTAAGATTCCCTAATAATATGGATTCTTGGTGCTGAAACATTTTAAAGATAAATGAGATGTTTCTTTGAAAGTTTTTTTCTGTTTACGTAAGGATTAACAACTAGGCAATTCTGTTTAGGTAAGTGTCTGAGTCAGTTTGAGCTGCCATAACATAATGCCATCAATTGGATTGCTTAAACAAAAAAAAGACACTTAATTCATTGTTCTTAAGGCTGGGAAATCCAAGATTAAGGTGCTAGCAGATTCCATGTGGTGCAGGCTCCCCTCCTAGTTTGCAGATGAGCATCTTTTTGCTGTGCCCTCAAATTCGGGGAGACAGAGAGAGAGAGAGGGAGGGCTGGAGGGAGGGAGGGAGGGAGGACTCTGATCTTTTTTTATAGAGGCACTTATTAATGCTATCGCGGGGCCTTACCTTCATGACTTCATCTAAACCTAACTACCTCCCAAAGGCTCCGCCTCCTGATTTCACATAGGAAGCTAGGGCCTCAGTAGAGAAATTTGAGGGGGACACATTCGGTCCATGACAGTAAAATTGTAAATCACTACTTCTATTTTGTTTATTTTACAAATATTTGTATGACACTTAATATGCACCGATGTTTTACAAATGTGTACACATTTTATACTTGTAATAACCCTGTGAGACGGGCACTATTGTAAGCTCTTTGACAGAGGAAAAACATGAATAGAGGTTAGGCAAATTGCCAATGGTCTCGGGGCAAGTACATGGTGCAGGGTTCAGCCCTGACAGCCTTGCCAAGCTGCTTCTACAGCTCTGCGTCCAGCTAGTGCCCTATTCCAGAGGCAGGCCAGCTGTGGCTTCCCAGCCCTCCTCGCAGCAGTGGTAGAATCGCTCACATATCCCAGAGGTCTGTATCCACCCTGGAGAATCAACTTAGAACATGCACTTTAATTTAAAAGGGGTGGGGGCAGGGGTGAGGGAAGAACCATTGAAATTGATGGTAAAAAGTCAGTTACCTAGTGAGCAGGCATCAGCTAAACAGACTTGGAATGCTTTATTGGCATTCTTATGGACTAAAGGATGTAGACAGTTATTTCTCGAGATGGAATCAAGCCCACGATGCAGGTAAATACAGATGACATGAAATGGCATGAAATTAGAAATCTAGTATTTACATGTCAAAGACATATCTGTTGGCACTTAGGTAAACAGGCAAAACCACACTAGGTACTCCCCTTCTGGTGCCTTTCTTGGTCCAGGGACGGCGGCACTAGGACAGCTGGACTTCATGAGCCCAACAGGTCCCTCTATAGCCCCCAGTCA